TTAAGAATATAAAGATATTATTTCCCTAAAACTATAGTATTTTAGGAGCTTTTATAAATAATAAATTTAAATCCGGTATTAGTATATATTTATTCTTAGCTATATTAATCTTAATAATTTCTTTTATAATTAATTATAAAGTTTCCGAGCCTAAAATCTCTATAAATAAGGTTTCTAAAAAGCTAACTTCTTATTTAAATATATTTTTTATTTTAGAAATTAGAATTAGAAAAAAACCGGTTAATAATAATAAATATAGTTAAGGTTTGAGTTTTAGTATTAGTAGTAATAAAATAATAACTTTTCTAGTTTTATTTCTATTATTTATACTTTTTTTCCTATTTCTTTAGCTTAATACTTATAGTATTTCTCTTTAATTCTACTAAACTAAATATATTTAATAATATTATTAAAAATAATAATAAAAATAATAAATATAATTTTACTAATTTTTCTAACTTTTCTGAATTTTCTTTTTTTTCTTTATTTAGTATCTTTTTCTTTTTTTAAAAGCTTTTCTAGTTTATTTATATAATTTCTTATTTCTAATTTCTTTTTAATTCTTATTTCTAATTTCTATTTATTATTATATTTAAAATTAAGGATATTTTCTTTTTTAAATATCTTTTCTAAACTTAAAAATAAGCTTTTTTACTAAAACTAGTATTATCTCTATTTCGGTCTTTATTATAACTAAAAATAATATATAAATTAATAATATAACTTTATTTTAGAATACTAAAATTTATTTCTAACTAAGGTCTAATTTATACTATTTTAGTATAATATTTCTTATTCTATTTTCTTTATTTCCTTTTCTTTTATAATTAGCCTCTATTTTTATTACTTTTATATATTATACTAGTAATTATATCTTATAACTAACCTATATTTAAATTACTAGATATATTAGAAATTAATATAAGATACTAAAATTAATATTTTAGCCTTAAATATAAGATATTATAATAGCCTTTTTCTCTTTTAACTTATTAAGCTAATAATCTGCCTTATAAATATTTCTTAGAACTTTATAAAAGTATTATTTTAATTATAAAGTTTTAATCTTTCCTATATTACTTATTATAAAATATATAAAAAGGAAACTATAATAAGACAAAAACCTATATAAAGTATACTAGAATATAAAATATAACTTAATAATAAAATAATAAATTAAAAATATAAATAATAAAATATAAATAATAAAATATAAATAATAAAATATAAATAATAAAATATAAATAATATATAATATATAAAAACTTAATTAATTAAATACTTATAAGAAATTATTTTCTAGAATTATAGAAAAACTAGCTTTCTTATATAATTTCTATAAGTTATATATAAAAGGCTATAGTTTTTATTATATAACCCAAACCTTAAAACTACTAAAATAATATAATTTTTAATAAATATACCCTATTATACTATATTATTCTTAGCTTAATAAATTCTTACTAGCTTATAAAACAGATATAAGTACTATTTATTTCTAGCTTAATAAATTCTTACTAGCTTATAAAACAGATATAAGTACTATTTATTTCTAGCTTAATAAAGGCGGGAGTATTAGGTAATCTCTTTATACTCGTTTTAGTACTAAAGGCTCGGCTATTAGGGCTTGAGGTAATACTAGCCCAAATTTAATATAATAGAGAAATATTCTATTCTATTTTCTAGTTATATTATTTTCCGGCTTTTAAAATAGTTATTCTTATATTACTTTAGCTATAGTACTAAATATATATTTATTAAAGAATATAAAATATAATAATTTTTAAATAAAGAATAATATAATACTTTTTTCTTTTATATTTATAATATTATAGAAAATATCTAAAAAAAAGATAGTTTTACTTATTTTTATATATAATCTAAAAGAACCGACTATATTATTATAAGAGGAATTCCCCGGGCCTATTTATTATTACTAGAAACTTAATATATTATTAGCTCTTTTTAATAACTATTATATATATCTTTATTATTTATTTTATATATTTCTTAAAAAGCTATAAATTAAAAATATATAATTTAGAAGAATTATATTTTAAAAGAAAGTTATAAGCCTTAATTATATATAGATTATTAGTTTTTAGCTACCTAATAACCTCCGAATTAAAGCCTAGCTAATTAGCTAAAAGAGTAAACTAGTACTAAGTTATAGAATTAGGCTTTTTAATAGTTAGTTTTAGCTAATTCTTTTTCTTTTTCAGGTATTCTCTAATTATTCGAAAAAAATATTATAATATAAAGAGATAGAATTACTAGTAGCTAAATTTAATCTAATTTATTATATTTCCTTTATATATATTAAATACTATTTTAGTATCTTATATAATAATTATACTAAAAGCCTGGTTTATACTAGAAAACTACTATTCTATTATATTATATTATAATTCCTTAAAGGGCTATTTAATTAAAGCTTTAATAATCTTTATATATAGGCTTAGTAAGTTCAGGTTTTTAAAAAGTATATATAATAAAGAAATAAGGCAAGCTATTATTAGAATATTATTTCAGATTAATTACTACTTTTTCTTTTCTCTTATTTCCGGAAAAAGCTTACTTTTATTAAAAAGTCTTTTAAATAGACTCAGATCGTCTTTTAATATTTATAGAACTCTTAGTTATAAAGCTTTAATAGTAAATTAGTTAGTCTTATATATGAGATCTATATTTCTATCTAGAATAGAAAACTATATTTATTAGATATAATTAAAATAATATAGGGTCTCTTATTTAAAAGATTAGTTTATATAGTTATAATAAGAATTATCTAGTAAATATTATTAAAATATATAGCTAGAACTTCCTATATATTACTAAATAAGAATTCGGGCCTTGGCTAAAAACTATAAATAACTAGTAAAGTATTAAAAATAATTAAAAAAGTATAAAAAAAAAAAAAAAAAAATTTTAAAATAATAAAATAAATATTTTCTAAAATTATAAAAGAATATAACAAAAACTTAAAAAATAATAAAAAAGAAAACTTAAAAAAAATTTTATTAATTTTAATTTAAAAAATATAATTAAAATTTTATATAAATTAAATAAAGTTTATAAAATAAAAATATTAATAAAAAGTTTTTAAAAATATAACTTTAATTAAAGTAAAAATAATTATAAAAGATAAAATAAATTTTTTAAATAAATTTTTTTTAAATTTAATTTAAACTTTATATTTAAATTAAATAATTATTAAAAGTTTTAAAAAGTTATAAAGAATATATATATTAATATTTGATTAATAATAAGTTAATAAATTTAAGTTTTATTTTCGAATAATTATAATATTTAATTCAAGAATATATTTATTTTCCTCTTTAAATACTCTTTAATATACTGAAGTTAATTACTTCGTTTATTATATTGTAATCCCTCTTATTACTCTTTAATAGTCCTTGGCTATTACATATTAATACTTCGTTAATACATCCTCAATAATACCCACAACTCGTAAACCCAGCTTGCAACCTCGTCAAGCACGGCTCACCGTCCGGCAGCCTGGCACATGTCTGATCCTCATGCAACCACTCATCCAACAGCTCCATCCCACAATGCTTCGTATGATGCATCTCCATCATCTCATTATCAACCGGCATATGCTTCTCCATCGCTTCGTGCATCTTCCTCCACACATACGTGCAATGTACCACGTGATATTTCCAATCCGCAAACAACACTTTGTGATCGCCTCCAACCCATTCTTCCATTGGAACTTCTGTTTGTTGGGAGAACTCCGTGTTTCCGTCAAGATAGAAATGCCAGTCTGTTCGGTTTAAAAAGTCGTCGATGAGGTCGGCCTGATAGCATGCTGGCTGGACCCAGATCCAGCTCATGGGATCGAATTTACAGCCCAGAGATCGTGCTTCTTGGATAGTTGAGCCGCATTCTCCTAGTTCGTTCCCTTTTGAAATTGGAGTCTGTGTCTGCTGTTTCAAAGTAGGGAAAGACAGGTAGCATATAAATCCGAAGGATGAAACGAGGTAGAGTAGAAGTATGCTCCATGCGATTTTCGACTTCTTGCTCGACTTTCTCGAATTCGAGGTATAATCTGAAAAGTCTTCCCACTCCGTATAAAGTAAATTCTCCTTGGCCGCAGAATCGTTGGGAACTTCACGGTACCTCGGATAAGGGAAGTAGTTGAAGCGAAATAGCGCTCTTGCGCTAGGCCACGAATTGGAATCTGTGATATCCATTTGAATCGCAATGATCAATTACGAAACCCTCAACGGCCACTGCGTTCCTACAACAGAACTGGACGAAACCATATTGAGGAAATCCTATGCGCCCCATTTCGAACGCTGATGTCACGTGCTTCCTAAAAGGGGGGCGAAAATTTAAGCGAGATAGGCTTAGTCCGGGGCTACCAACGTAAGCTGCAGGTGATGCCGGAGAACTGACTACGCAGGGCTTGATATGCAATGTCATTAACCCTGGTTACATCAGCATCTAAGGTTTGATAACCCACCCTGACCTTACAAAGTTAACTGCTAATGCAATGTCAATAACACGAGGCTATCTTTGCAGCAGGATAGCCCCAGCGGCACTCAGCATTCGCCACTCGCAGACCACCATGCAGTTGCCGGCACGATTGCGCTTGGTAAGTGCTCTTGTGCTTGCTTGGCATCGATGAAATCTGGAAACCAATCCGAATCGCTTGTCTCTTACTGAAATCTACCAAGAGAACACAATCACTCGCGACCTTCTTTCCTGGATGTTTAACCAAGAATCATAGAAGTTCGCGAGTTTATTTGTTTAATATGTATCCTATTCGTAACTCAGAGTCGACTGCACGCCTCGACTCACCATTCTCAGATCAGGAAGCAGAATCCTTCCTCCACGGTGAAAAGGTAGACAATCTTCAATCCTCAAACTCAACCACAAAAATCAACATTCCAATATTTTGGATTGCTTCAAACTTTATATTTGCAAGTCTTTTGGCGATATCCGTCATCCAAGGTTGGAAAATTGGCGGCAATGACACTTATGAAACCGGCTTCAGAACAGAACTACGTTAGTTTTCTACCTTGACATATCTCTAGGTGAAACTGAGCCGATTGGAATCTAGAGCCCGCACGAGAAGCGATAGCGCTCCAAGAAAGGAAATTCTGGGGTGGAATCATAGTAAATGAGACCGCAGACTGGGAGTTAATTTTGGATCCCAAGCAACCGAGATATGTGGGGCATCCTACCAAAGAGCTTGATGCAGCTTGGGATATGCTCGTGGGGAACTACGTTGCTCTCAGTGAAGCAGAGGCGTCAACTGTACATGGCCAACATTCTAAGGAGAATGGATACTATTTCGTCGTGTGAGTAATCTTCTTCTCTGCTAAAACTTCAAAGCAATTTACTAAACACTATCCAGACCACACGTCAGACACACACTCCACTGCGTAAACTACCTGCGAAAAGCATTATACCCAAAATACTACCCAACCCTACGCCATGAGTCCAGAGAGCGTGTCCCAGACTATTATACGCACGTTGGTGAGTTCTTTCGCGATCAGGTTATGGAGGAATGGATACTAAATGCTAGTAGATCATTGTCTGGAGACGATTCGTGAGACGGTGCAGTGCAACCAGGATATGACGCCAGTTCCGCATTATTGGAGTGAGGAGAAGGGGATGTTTTTGGCGAATACGATGCTCACGCATACCTGTAGAGATTTTGTCAAACTTTTGGAGTGGCAGGATGAGAGGGATAGAACGAGGCCGCAGAAGGAGGCGCATCCTATAGATAGGTGATTAAAGATAGTCTATGGAATAAGACAATAATACAGCGTCAGGGGAATAAGGGTTCGGGTTATGCAAATTCAATTAGCATGAGAGTGAATTCCATCTCCTCAAAATCCTTTGAATGATCCTACTGAGAAAAAATATTGTGGATGGTTCAGGAAACTGATATGAAATAACTTTTACAGATGTCCAATTCAACTTGAGCTGTGATACGGCTTCTATGGGTTGGTTATGTGATTATGTAAATCTGATTGGTGTAGGCTTACCTTGCATGGTACGAATCTGCAGCAAGCTATATATTCTGCCCACCCCCACCATCTCTAACAGCTTTCAACACCTTTTCGAAAGCCGCTCGCCCCACAAGAAAACACCATGTATCATCCAAATTTCGTTCTTAGATTACTCTCAACTTTAATCCTTGCAAATCAGGATATGATACTGGTAGGTCAAATCATCTTTAGAACCCCTCGTACTCGAATCAATGCACGATAATCTTGAAAATTTCTGACAATTCGGAACTTCAGGATCACACATGGCCAAACCACCAACGCTGCGCGGGAATATACGGGCAGCCTGACTTCTCCCACTCCTCGCCATCCTCCATCTTCGTCGAATTTCCGGATCTCGATCCTTCCACCCCAAGCGGGCTCGTCAGCGTCGTAATCTTCGGGTTTCGAGATGAGCATCTGGGAGGAATCACTGTCCAACACGGCAACGGGAAGAAAGGAGTCGGCCCCCTACTTTCTCCCTTCCATATCCTTTTGCTAACTTGTTGGGACAAAGAAAGAAACGCTTTGTACAAGAAAGAATATCGAGAGGAACATCTGCCACGAAAAGGAACTAGGAACGTTCATCATTACGCCCACTGCTCGCCAGAAAGCAGGCAATCCACTCATTACGCGTGCGATCAATACCTCGCATCCGGTATCACTCATTTACCCGGTGAGGAACCCGGGATATTATTGTGTGGCTACAGCTGCATTTTCGGGGCAGCCGTTTGAGGCGAAGATGCATATCGTTGATGGGCCGGGGAGGGGAATTTTGCCTTCTTACATGAAGTCTGCACTGACGTACTCGCGGACATTGGCGTTTGTGGCTGTATTTCTGGTGTCACTTTACGGAATTTGGGCGGTTGGAAAGCAAGAGAGAAATTCTAGACCACGCTGGATATTTGGAATGAACGCACTCGTTGCCGCATCAACGGGGGTTGCGGTGCTGAGATGGATCGACCTTGAACTTCAGAACGAAGACTTCGGAACCTTGGTTCTTTTCCCATCGATGCTGGTTACGAATTTGCTACGCACCTTTCAGATAATGCTCGTCATATCCTATGTATCCAGGTCCTGCCAAGGAGAACAAGATTCCGGTTCCTGGAAATCGAAGGCGTCGAAATGGTTCTGGATCCCACTCGGTCTCCTGACATCTATTCTCACCACCAGAACTATATCTTCAGCTTATACGTCCGTCGGTCTGGGTCTAGTCTTGATAACAGCTGGTGTTTGTGCAATCCTGGGGCTTCAACGCCTCGCCAAATCGCAGCCAGGGTTCGAGAAGCGGAACGAAAACAGATCGAGAACCGTCCTACAGGTGTGTTTGTTCATTTTTCTGATAGGCGTGGCGGGGATTCTAGCCTTCAATTCTTATGCCGTGTTTGTCTACGGGAATAAAAAGCAGCAGTTCAACTCGGAGTTTTGGATCATCAGGTGGTTTTGGGTGGACGGAGGGGCTTTTGGGATTCTTTTCCTTCTTTTTGTGCCCGGCTTGGTGCTTTCTATTTAAAGTTTTCAACTAAGAGGAGGAAAAAGTTACTTTAAATTAATAAAACTTTTATTGGGACAAAATCCTCTTATTGTATAAGGCTGAAGTTTCTAGATGACTTCCTTTTCTCTAGGCACCTCCCTAGACCAGTTCGGTGTTTACGTATATCAAATGAGTAGCACACAATTCTGGACTATTATCTCGCGAACAGAAAACCTCACTATATAATTCATTTCATTATTCTCTCTCTCAATCCTAGCCTAGCTTTTGGAAACTACATAACAGCAATATTATGAGGAGTGTTGGTATTGCTCCAAATCCATATCCTTATGAAAGGGATGTTCATGACCCTCTGGAATATGCAGCGTAGTCTTATGCTCCCGATTCCAATCCCTAATTTTATCAAAATTCCGGCACGTATGCAGAGTTCTGAAGTCGGCGTCTAGACCTGCTGGCTTTTCTGGAGCCAGAAATTGAAGATAAGGTGTTACATCAGATGTACATTGTAAGCTTATTCTGATGGTATTGATGCAGTGGTCGACATGCTATAAACAGCCGTGGTCAGACGTGCTTTTGGCTGAGTAAGAAGGAGGGGCCGAACTTACTCTCCAAACTACATGATCTGGCGCGTCGAACAGTGGGTTGGCACTATAGTCATATTCGTCTCTGTAGATAAATTGACGGACCATATCGAGGCAGTGGATAACATGGAATACTGAGTACAAATTAGAAATGAGCATTGTTTTCCAGCACATAATGATACCTTCAAGAAATCCCACAACACCACCTCCCTCATCTGGATCAGTCCGTTGCCAAGGCATATCCGTTGATTTGTTGAGAAGATGCAAATTCTCATATGGAACGTTGATCTCGCCAACTATTATCCCATTAGTAAATTCCTATTTCCTCAAACTTCTCGATATCTTACTATTCCACAAATCATTCCAAGCTTTCTCCAACTCGGGCGTCGGCTTCCCTCGATATATAGACGCCTCCTCCTCCTGGAAGAACCCATTATGAAATTCCACCACTTTATACTCAACCGCTTCCCACGCAGGAGAGTAGGTCGAGAGCTTTTCTCCGCATTCCAAAGTCGTCATTGGCTTTGTCTTGAAATGAAAATTGGTTAAATATGCAGCGCACATAAAGCAGAGGGAGGTTGTGAAGAGCCAAGCGAAGGGTGATATGACGGCCCATCTTGCTCTCAATTTCTGCACAGATGTAGGAGGTTCATAAAGAGGAAGACTGTCGGATTCTGAGGTGCTGTCGTCGACGGATAGAGGTTTGTACTCTTGTTCCTTCGCCATCATTTTTGAGATCTCCATTTTGTTGTTGTATGGTGGACTTGAATACTTGGAAGATACTTCACAACTTGGCCAAAGAAGAATTCAAACTAGTTACCGAAGAGAAAAATCTGCGAGGGAAAGCTGATCACTAGGAAAGGTTGTACCATTTCCAGATACAGATCTCATACGACAAACGCATTTGTCAGCCGCCACGATCAGGGTAAGTGCTGATGTGCAGAGGTAAGGAACCCTCTGATAGCATTTGCAAGAAACGTTACATATCTGCCGCTTGAGATAATAAAAGCCCAGACCCCACATCGTACAAGGGTATAAAGTTCCGTGCAGATCGGCAATGCAAGGTCAGCGGTCGTGTTACTGAAAGTTACTCGTTAGTAAATTTCGCTAGTAGAGCTCGATAGTAGGAATCTGACGGCCCCCTCGTGAGGCGCTAGCGTCTCGGCAATAAACCTCATCCTAGTACAAAAATTAGAGTTAGGAGGTTAGATTGTCCTCACGGTCATCGTATACCGGCAACGAGTCAGCTATAGCATCAAAATTCATACCGAAAATGCAAAGTCATACAGAAGGTTGGGCCGCTGAGAGTAGAATGCAAGGTCATTACAAGGACCAAGAAATTCTGGAGTAGTGTCTTACAGTCAGGCTTAAGCAAGATGAGAATAGTGATCACAGGGATAGTACAGGCCGGAGGTGATCATTATTACGAAAATTAAATTCTAGACGTGCTTAAAAGACGTGCCGTCCAGGCTAATCCCAAGTTATTTTCTGCATCTATCAGCTTTCTCCATCTCAAGGATCCATTGCTTCAAACCTCATTCCCAAACGAATCAGCAAAAATGAAGTTCCCCATTACCGCCATTGCCATCTTCGCCGGCCTCGTTGCCGCAGCCCCCATCGCTAACCCTGGCGAGGAAGGCGTCGACGGCTGTGACAAGCGTGACCTTTCCGGCCGCTGCGTTCTCTCATGGACTAAGAACTACGGGGAGTATGACGAGAAGGTCAAGCGCAGTGAGGAGAGCACCGAGGGCGTTGACGGATGTGACAAGCGTGACTTGAGCAGCCGTTGTGTTCTCTCATGGACTAAGAACTACGGGGAGTATGACGAGAAGGTCAAGCGCAGTGAGGAGAGCACCGAGGGCGTTGACGGATGTGACAAGCGCGACTTGAGCGGCCGTTGTGTTCTCTCATGGACCAAGAACTACGGCGAGTATGATGAGCAGGAGTAAATTTCTTCTTCGATGCCGCCCTCTGATCTCTAGGTATTTCCCCTTGTCAAAACATTTCTGAGATATGGACTAATACTCAAGGCTTCAGTGAATGACGGAGGATTGATGGTGCGGGGTTCTTTCCTGTAATTGGTTCTCTTGATTCTCTTACTCTGTGGATGGGTGGACGATTGGCGGGGTCGTAAGCTGGTTTGAGATGGGAGGGATGGTTGAGTTTGCATAGAGTAGAAGCACATCAGCTGTATGTGATATAGTCTGAATGCAAAAGAAGGATTTTCTTAAAATTCGCCCTTCTTAAGTGAACAAATTTGGCAAAGCGAGAATCTTGCACGTCTGAAGTATTAAGTTCCTTCATCGACTATAGAGAAGATTTTAATATCCATTGGCTTAATTGAATGTTACTCGATTTTATTGAAGAAGTCAATAATTAATGACTCTACAAGGAAGACATCTTTCTCTTTGTTTTGAAATGTGAGAGCAACATACGTTGGGACTCATTTTTAGAGTCAAATGTTTAAGGAAGAAGTGTAGATAAAAGGCTCCTCATGGAGTCACAGTAGCCCAAAAAATCTTGTATTCAAGTACGGAAGGGAGCGGAGCTTGAAATTTATTCTTAAATTTTAAATTGGAAGAAATGTGCTAACTTTATTTGTATTAATTCTAAGGTAAAATCTACCCAGGAGTATCAAACAACTGATGCTCATGAACCCACTCCACCAAATTCTCAAACTTCCTACACTTCCTCGGCGTATTCCTCTCAACCACACCAAAATCAGCAGATGGGTCTTTCTCAACCAGGTATAAAGTGACATCACTTATGCACATAATATTCATTAGCAACGTGGAGATGCAGTGATCAACATGATGTCGTCTGATTTTCTCTCCGCCACCAAATGATGGAATGTGCGAGTAATCCCAGTGGTCGCGGTATATGTATTGGCGAACCAGATTCAGGCAATGGATTTGGTGAGAGCCTGTATTTAAGTATTAGAGTCTGTCTAATTCGACGATCGAGCATTTGATAACTGACCTTCAAGAAGACCGCCAACACCTCCACCACCAGCTTCCGGAATTCGCCGAAAATCCCCATTTAACGAAGACTTGTTCAAAGCCGGCAATTGCTCAATTGGCACATTGAAAGCTCCATCTGCGAAGTCAAATTAGCTACTGGAGTAATCATTGGAAGTAGGAAGAACTCACAATCCCAAAGTTTAGCCCACTCGTCTTCACTTTCCTGAGTCGGGTAACCGCTGTATTGATCTGGGACGAAGTCGTCCGGGAACTGAACCCATTCGTACTCGATCGCTTCTCGAAGAGGCGCTGTGGAATACAAAAGTCAGAGAATGTGCTTGTGATTGAATGCCTTCGGAAATATCTTACAGTACGCAGACATATTCTCAACGCATGCCATATCTGTTACCACCCTCTGCCGCTTCCGTAGAAAGAACAAGAAAGACAAGGTTGTGGCAATAAGAGAAGCCAGAAGGAGCCATTTTGCAAAGTTGGAGGGTCTCTGTTCTGAGGACTCCTTTTCAGGTGAATATAATGGTAAGGATGAGCTGGAACTGGAGCGATCGGTGTATTCCTCTTGATCAGAAGCGGTCGGCAGAGATGCGTATTCCGCTTTCTCAGTTCTTTGAAATTTAAAACTATTCCGAAGCCACTTGGGCCACTTTGATGAAGCCATATTGAACTTCAGGTTCTCAATTGGTAGTCAGAACTGTTTGATTCAGATCTCTGGGAGTCTACTCTTCCTCGACTCGTTAGTAATCATTTGCTTTTGAGGTTACTGTCTAGTGTAACAAATCAGTGGCAAGTACGCGGTCATTGATACGAGAAAAGCTTATGTGATCCTCAGATTGGCGTGACATGAACCCCGCATGGCTTTTACCGTTCGATTAAACATTAAGCTCTTATTCCAACTGCTGACAGTGCATGACAGCCGTACAAAGATAGTGGCATTTCAGGGGTGTTATTGCCGGATGCACTATCCATGGCCCCTGTAGAAGCCGCGAATAATAGCTACAGGGGCACATCTATAGCGCATATGCCTGACTGCCCCCTGAACGCCTCCCGTAAGTCTTCAGAAAGAAAATCACAACCCATGTAACCATTTGCGTTACCGTGCAGTTTCTTCAAAGTTTCAGCATAGTAAACAATTGTGTCCTCGGGCCGATTTACGAGTACGGTACTTTTCCAATTTGAACGATTTCTTATCGTGAAGCGGGGTAGCTGAAGATAGGAAATGTACTGTACTCTTTAGGGCAAAGTAAGCCGCGCTTCATACCACGCCAAAGAGCGGAAACGGTGGAGAGGGGTGAATTACTGGGCTGGGCCCAGGTGATTGTGTCTGCTTGTCTCGTGACGGAAATCTTCCATTGTCTCTCTTGCTTGCATCTAACGTCAGAATACCTCTGCGCACCAAAAACCATATCCTTCTCAACACAACCATGGAACGACCCACGAACTCTCGAAAATTGTTCTCAAAGATCATTGGAATGGAGTCCAAAACAGCTTCAAGAGTGCAACTTCTTGCGACTCTCTTCTTCTCCATTTTATCACTTTTCTTGGTGACCAATTCCCTTAAGCTTCAGCCTACGGACCACCAATGTCTGCAGAGCATGAATTCCTGGTCACCAGCTCTTGATTCTGTCAGATACCACTGGGAGACTTTCCAGAATGGCTTCGCCAGGAAGACAAATTACAAAGGTCCACCTTTAGTTGAAACAGAAGCTGCGTGGGATAATCTACGCCAAGGTATGCAATTTTTCAAACCCAAGAGAACAACAGAATACTAACCTAAGCAGAAACCCCGCTGGAGATCCCAGCTTCCAAACTTCCAGAACTTCAACAACCCATAGAAAGAGATTGGGCCCTTACCTCTCCCTCACACTCAAACGGAGTCCAAGGACACCTCTCAGTATTCCGGCAGATCGACTGTCTTTCCCTCCTTCGCAGACACACGTACAGAAGCGAGCACGGCTACGCTTCCCTTCCCGAATTTCAGGGATCGGAAATGCAGATTATGAGGAGAGTCGATAAGTGTGTGCAGCATTTGAGGCACACCTTGATGTGTGCGGCGGATGCAACTCCGTATCTGATTAAGTTGAATCCAAAGCGGCCGTCTGGAGAGGGACCCGATTTTGATACTTTGCATTACTGTAGGAATTTTGAGGAGTTGAGGGAGTGGGCGGGGGTGAATTCTGTGAGGGTTTGAAGGGGAGAGAAATCGGCGTTGCTGGTAGGATTAAGACGCAATAATCGCGCTCATCAAGATGCTCGGATAGACACAATCAAATATAATTTCTTCTGGTATTTCATGACATATAAAATGTGGTGAAATGATCAACTCGGGGAAGAATTGCTGGATTTGGCTGAAAATTTCCAGGCTCCAATCGCTAAAAAAATACAGCGTGGTTCCCATTGTGCTCCAGGGACTTGCCCCCGCAATTTGCTATGGATACCCCGCCCAATCGCTGAAAAAGTCCGCTCGCCTCACCCCAGTAAGCCCAGCATATCAACGACTTCCCAGGACGACCATCCTCTCAACTTCATTCATCCACCAATTTCAAAATGTCACGCCTCACACTCTCCCTAGTCCGCCCTTCATCTGAAGAAGAATGGTCTAAAGAAACAGCAGACGGCTATAGGAAACATGCCTACCGAACTTTCAAACTACCTATTTTCCTCCTTGTCACGACCGCAACTTTTACCTGCCTGGTCGGCATGTTCATCGGAGCAACCTATTTGGCCACGCCCGTGAGCTCTGATTCATGTCGGCGATTCGGAATCAGTACACTTTCATCCTGCAGTACACAAGATACACATTCCCACGAAAGTGCTCTGGAACAACCACATTTGATTTTCCCTCCATGTAAGCATCCTCAACATATTGTAGGAATGATATCTGAGGATGAAAATAGCGCAAGAACTTCTTAGCCCACAGAACGGATTCAAGACGTTCAATACAGAGCGATTCAATGGGTCCGCAACTGGAATATCTCCGTACAAGCGTCCCCCAAATCATGAACTCGAACTTCTATGGGCAGATTATTGGCCAAGTAAATCATCTCACCCCCTTTTCATCTTTCCCCAAACTCACTAAAATTCATCAGTAACGGCATTCTCCATCACTGCAAAGCAATACCACGAAACAAACCCCCAACACCAAGAAAGCGGCGTCCAGCTCCATCCTGGTTCAGAAGAGCCTCACTACATCGGCACATTCGCCGCCATGCATCAGATGCATTGTCTTTATAATCTCTTCAAAGCTACAAATTTGGAGTATTACGAGGAAGAGAAGGGCGAATTGGAAAGGAATCCAGGGAGATGGCATGAGATGGTGGATCACTGTGTTGATATTTTGAGGCAGAAGATTGAATGGTAAGTCGTCATTCATCTCACTTCAAGTTTGTGGAGCGAATTTCGAAATGACTGGAATATGATACTGACGATGAATGGGTGAAGTGATCGAGATACATCAGTTATCACTTATAACTGGGTAAAGCATAAGAGAGGCCCGGTTGCGAATTTCAATGTTGAGAGGCAGTGTAGACCGTGGCAGGAGATGGAGGATTGGGCTAGGGAGCATGAGGTTAAGAAGATGCCTTCTAAGCCGGAAGGGGTTGTTGAAATGGATGGTTTTCCTTGAATAACGACTTATTAGAACATCTTAAAACAGATTTCGCAGCACATTTAGACGGAGGTCATCCAAATCCTTCAAATGCATCAAGTGACTCAAGATCCATCCTTCTTTCAAACTTGGACCTCACGTGAGCCATCTCGATATCGGAGTCACCTCGTGACTTGGAGTTTCCCAGCAAAAGTTCGGGGCATCTGGATCTCTGACCACTATGACCGGCCTTTAGGTATTTACACAAGATAAATGGGTATTGTCCGCGCAACAAACCTCATACGAATTGGTGGCGATCTTTTTCGCTGAAAGCTTAACGCCACGCCCGCCAAAGATGGCTCGCTGAGAAACCTCACCTCAGACGGTTCAAAGTCGCAACCCACAATCCTACGATCAACACTTTCACGAAATAGCTGGATCACCGCATATGCAAGGTCAACATCCCAGTTCGGAGTTAGGGAATCTCTTCGCTGTTTTTACAGGGAGTCATAGTGGTAAATCTAACTGCCGGGGCCAAATAAGCGCTAATGTGCGTACCGTTAGCCACTAAAGGCAGGGTACCTAGCCTCCATTTTTCAGCATTTTTTAGGTTTTCCGCCTTTCTGCAGGTGCTCTCGTGTGCTCTCGTGTCAGCTACGAGCTGCTAGGATAGTGGCATGTTTAATTTTCAGGGAAGGGTAGGGGTGAGATTATGCATGGTGATCTTGAGGATTGTCAGATAATGGGTATGTGCGGTAATCGTTTAGGAGGTTGTCGATTGTCAAGGGGTTTATTAGTAAAGTTTTTCGTTACCCCGCGTAGGGGCGAGGATGTAGGAGACGAGTTCTGATTCTTGACTTTGTTGCATGGGGTAGAAGCTCTGTGGACAATTTTGAGGCGGGAATCACCACTCAAGTGTTCCAATTTCCTGTTTTGAGTCTCTCAACACCAAAATGGGCCGCTCATCAATATCCTCAGACACCACACTCGAAGACCTAGATCATCTCTTGAAGCAAGAGGAGGGTAGTGTTGAAGATCTCAAACGCCTTCGACATGATGGCCATAAGGAAAAAGTCGCCAATCGATATCGCTCTTTGCTGGTCATTTTCTGCGTCTTCCAATTCATTTTCTCCCTCGGCCTCATATTTCTTCTCATCAGAGCAAATCAAGCCAAACATGATCCAAGCTTGACTCTTTATTGTATGACCTCCTAAAACCTTTTCCTGAGAGTTTGACAAATGAAGAATCCTGATCAAAAAAAAGCACCACTAAATGATCTCGTCGAATACATCCCCCACCGCTTCAACCGTTCCCGTGGTGCAGACAAAACGCCCTTTCAAGGCTGGCCCACGGACGAAATCGACCGCACCTGGCTCTCCGCCTACGCTCCCGGGATACTCTCATCCCTAACCCCCTCCCAAGCCTCGCTCCTCCCCGATACCACAACCCGAATCCCCGTCCCGGGCCGAGAAAACGAGTACCAAGCAACCGTCGACGTCTTCCACCAAATGCATTGTCTAGATGTGGTGCGAATGGCCTTGTACAGAAATAGATATGATAAGCATTTTTATTTCCAGAATGGGACGGTTGACGAGTGTAAATGGGTGCATGTTGGTTTGTTCCCTCCCCCAATACCCATCCCCATACCAAAAACACTCAAGAAGAAAACAGAGAATGGAAAGGAGAGAAATAGGAGAAAATTAATAAAATGGAGTAGATCATTGTCTAGATCAGGTGAGGCAAGCACTCATGTGTTCGGCCGACATTTCCATGGTTCCTTACCAATGGAGTGACGTGGTTCAAGGAACGCGCCCAATGGTGAATAACATGCACACTTGTAGAAACTACACTAAGATTCTGGAGTGGGCGAAGGAGAGGGCGTTAGGGACTAGGGAGTGGCATCCTAGTCGGCGGGTTGTGGAGGGAAAGAATGGGGAGTTGAGGATAGAGAAGGGGAGGAACCATGCGTTGCATGAGGGGGAGGGGGAGTGTAATGCTATTTGATGAGAAAGAAAGGACGGGAGAGGGAGTTTGTGGGATTTTGAAACAATGAAATGAAACTAAAAGATAGCTTGCTTCAATTGCGTTCGATTTCGAAAGATCTTGGTCGAAAGTGTGCACACAGAAATGGAGTCCAAACTTGGCCCCCAACTGGCAGTATCAGCCGCAGCGGTAGTGGCGGACGCCTTATTTCAACCGTAGTTTTTGGTGCTCTATTATAGACCTGAGTGACCTAGCCTCCCTCTTCCTCCAAGAAACATATTCCCTCAACCCACCGCGCAAACCCCACCGCCTTCAAATCAACACCTCTCCAAACCAAATCACTCACCCAAACCAGCACCACCGCATAAACCACATAACTCATCCCAAACCCCACCACATACCTTACAACCGTAAACCTCCCCGAGACCTCCCACATCGCAGGCCACAGCCAATATCCCAGCGTATGCAAAATTGGTCCATGGACAATATACAGACTGAAACTGAGTTTCCCGAAATACTGGATGAGAGGTTGGTTGAGGAAGTTGTTGGGGAAGGAGGTTTGGGATGAAAGGGCGACGAGGGAAACGAGGAGCATGGCGCCAAGACCAGGCCAGAAGCGGACGGGGTTGGTGTCGAAGGAGGGAACGAGGTGCCCCAGAGTGGTGAAGCCTGGGGCGCGGGAGATGCAGAAGTCGGGAGCAGAGAGGAGGTGGAGGGAGATGGGGAAGAGGATGGTTTTGAGGATGGTTTGAATCCAAGAGGGGATGGACTTCCGAGTGGATTTTGACTGGGTTCCCGGTCGTAATGATAGATCGGCGATGAGCATCCCAGCAAGGAATAGCTTCAGATCCCATCGTCCCCATAGATACGCGCTTAACAATAGGAACACCTCGAATCCATACCGTAAATGGGACTGCATCCTCACCACAACAGGCAGGACCAAGAATAATGCGAGCGAGCAACGAAGTTCTGTCGCGATCGTCCACAGGTGAACATCGTAGACTGGATGAAAGTCCTTCCATGAAAACGTATTCATCATCCCTCCCATGGCATGGCACCAATCCAAAATCTGCGCAAGGAACGTTTCCATCCGTTCAGCGTGATGCTCTGGAAACTCCGTGATAATACTACGATCCTTCGTCGCCCGTCTTCCATGCTCAAAAAGGCCAATCCAAACCGCCAGCATCGTAAACGCCATCACCATCGCCGGCGGGATGATCAGTCGAAATCCTCTCCTGAACGTGGAAGATGCCACACTCATCAAACTCGAACATAACTCCCTCCTGCGAGCCAACTGAAGCGGTTTGTAAGAGAGTACAAACCCTGAGATGACAAAGAATACCGATACTGCAGCAGTCCCTGAGTACGCGAGACGAAAGATGGGAAGTTGATGGAACCATAGATTGTGCTGCCCCACTCCAACATCTTCTGGACGAGCACAATGAGCCGCATCTTGAGATGAAAGTCCATAGCCGTAGAAAACAAAGCCTTGGTAAACATAGAGAACATGATAGTTCATTACTGCCAGGGCAGCCAGTCCTCGAAGACCATCGAGAGCTGAGCTTTGACGGATGTTCGTTTCCAGGAGCTCATTGTTTGGTGAGAACCAGCTTGGGAGAATAGCAGCGAAAAATGCTGTCAGGCATGGCCAGATCATCTCCAAGTATCTCTTTCCGATTGAAACATTCGTCTTCCGCCATGTTTTCTCATCACTGGAGTCGAATGATAGAAGTCGTCGCCATTTGGTGCGACTTTGGCCCGCGTTTCCAGGGAGAAATGACATCTCTGCCCAGTTGTCTCCCCCAATTTGAGACTCTCTATGGCGAGAGAGGTATCCTCGAAGGAGCCCAGCCCTCAACAATAAATTGTCGCCCTAGTCCTGATCTACGATACTCGAATGAGAATCTGAATCCTGGATAATACCAATCGGCCCGTTGTGAGAATGAAATTCAGAGCACTTCCCCTGCCACAGAGAACCCAACTGCACGTTTCGCCTCCTCAGATAATTGGTTTGCCCGTAAAAAGACTTTTGTTGTAGAAGTTCACATCTTCAAGGATTTTGACTGGCGGAGAAAAGTCCGAACATGGCGAACACAGCGAAGCGAAGTTTGACCTGCCTGGTGGCCAGATTAGTAATCCCATTTGCATAGTATTAACCATCTACCCTTGATGGTAGCCGCTTACAAGCTCTACACCGCAAGATCATGTATGCGGCTACTCCATAGCGCTGACGGGTGCAGATAAGGCGAAGGTAAGCTTATATTTAACCCGCACAAAGGTATGAACTCCCGAATGGCCCCGCATCCTGGACATCCCGGATAGAAATTAAATAGCCGACTGGTCAAGATGCAAGAACCAGAATGTGACAGGCTATTCCGCCTTATAACGTGGTACAAGGGCGCACTTGTATCCAAATTCAGTAATCTCTGGAGCTTCATAACATCAGCCAATGGACCAACGCATGAGAGATTCCTGATGCGGGCAATAGTCAGACTAATCATGGTAAGCTTATCTCATCACAGGTTGGATTTGATTACTCACTTGTTATACACAATCAATTCCATGGAGGCAAAACAGGGATGGTTGGGGAATTGACGGCGGAATGACGGTAGCCAATTGGAATTGATGTGGGGTCCCCAACGCCGAGCTGCCTCTGATTTCTGATCGGAGCCTAAGAGATTGGTAGCCACGGGTGAAGCTCTGTATCTCCATGAGACGGTCGTGACATAATCCTCGTGCTGATGACCTTCATATCAACAAATGGTCTACGAACAATAAGGGTCGTTCTCGGCAGTAGGAATCCCAAACTAGACGTGCGGAGACAGAAGGGACACGAACTCGCCTGATATAAATTTGATCCAATCACGCATTTGGAGACTCGTAAAATTCTCGATTGTTGGTGAAGCTGAAACCGTAAATAATGCGGTGAGAAAAAGATCACAGCTTTTGAGTTTAGGTTAGCGCTGACGAGGTGGCGGCCGCCACTAACTTGACGACCATGCACTTGTTAGTGTGATAAATTTGGGTAACAGGAGATACGGAGGTAAGTAAGTCAACAGGAGATAAGGAGACTTACTAGATATATCAAATAATTTGATGCCTTCGCCCGTTGCACCGAAACCAAAATAAACTCTAATTCTATATGTCGTACTGAATCCCCTGGGCTGGTCGTACGAATCTCTCTGGATAGTAATACAAGGCCTTGAAACGTTGGTACCGAGCTTCTCGGAGAAGGCCAAGTCAATACGATGGTACAGCGGTTAAGTATTCGCACAGCACTAGCATGGGAGCCCTTGTGCCTTGGTTCCTTTCCTTGATTAGGCAGTACAATATAGCTGCTCTGGGCGCTGATTGGAGTAAAACTGTTGTTGTTTACTCGATAAAGCAAAGCGTAGTGTACCTATGCTAGTGCTGTGCGAATACTTAACCGCTATACCTCCGTAGTCAGTGGCCAGTACCAATGATTTTGTGTGGTGTACCTATTCTCGAGGGCTTTCCACCTCGGGAACCTGTCGGCGAGTTAATCGTTTCAGGATAGAGACCTTGCATGGAACGGTAGCAACGACAAGGGGCGACAGATTATCTTGGCACATATCCACTGAGAACTTTCTTCGATTGGTATCCATCCCATAATAGAAAAACTTTTGAAGCGTTCTTAATAATTAGATTTCAACACAACACAATGGCGAGCCTATCATTCAATGACCCCCCTGCATTAATTGTACCGCACCAGTACAGCAATGTAAGTTTGGAGACCACCTTCGAGTTCGAAAGCAAAAGAAAGGCGCAGAATCGCGTTGCTCAGCAGCAGCATCGTCAGTGATCCACAAGGGAAGAGTTTGAATCTGACTGACTCGATTAGGTGCGAGAAAGACGGCCCAAAAGCTTCAAAATCAAAGAGGTTCAATGAGGTCCATCTCGTCATCAACGGCGAGCACGTCACCCTCTCGGCAGAATAGCCCTTTTCAAACAACGAATGAAATCCCCACATATGAAAGAGCAAGGCGTTTTGGCGGGGACTCTCGTGCTGGTATATGCAACATCTTCTCGGATTCGGCGCCAACCTTGGAGGTCCCGGGAGGATCGCAAACTGGACTTACGTTTTGGAGAGATGACACTATAGCTCCATTCAACGACAGGTCAGCCTGGAACTTCATGCCATCGTCCACTGCATCTCCAAGCGACACAAACTGGCTAGCGAGCTCATTCCCAGCAACTGGTATAGCATTGACATTCATACATCCGAAGTAAAATGTAATAATGATATCGTGTAGAGGTCTCAAACCGGACTTGGTCCGAGTTTACAAATCCGGAAGCGCTTGACCCAATGATTATAGAGACTCTGAGCCAGCAACATAAAAAATCCAGAAACGTTCTCCAAATTCCAGTCACCCCTAGAGAAAGCGCGGGGCCCACGAAGTCGAAAAAACGATTGCACAGTGATGCCTTTACAGAGACGGAGGGTGCTGAAAAGCGATTACCACAAGCCAAACCGACAGAAGTTAAATCAAATAGCTCGGCCACAACTTCATCACACGAAGAAGAAATGGAATCGATCCTGTCTAGCGCACGCAAAATGGGCTTCCGAAACTTTGACGAGTTGGCGACATGGTATTACACATCGCCCTCACCATCCTCCTCCGTTCTGCAATTCTCACAGAAGATGAGTCGTCAACGGCACCTCGCTGGCTTATTCGAATCGATCTTCGCCGACTCGATGCAGTGGCCAGATAATGAGTCGCAGGGTATCAGGCAAGCGGCCATGAGGGCTGTGGAAGGCATTATAGGGGATGAGATGAAGAGCCTTGGGAAGCAGGTGGAGGCAACAGAAGGGCAGGGACAATATCCGACGCCCCTGCCAAGCCATCAAACAGAGGACAAGGAGATTGAACTCAAGGCAGGCAGGCATTTGATACAGGAGCGCGTAAGTGACAATCAAAATGTGAAGCATTAGAGACCAATATGCTGATGCCGTAATCATAGATGCCAAACGCACTGTCTCTTCTGATGGAACTAGTCAGCAGCACGACATCGATGAGTCAAAGGGACATATCAGAAACTGTCTTCGAATGCTTGGCAGTGTTGTGCAAACCACAGCTCAAGAGAAGGTAGCATAGCAAAGAAACATGTATAGGAAGTGCATATCAGGTATCACATATTAACAAGAAGATGTGTAACTTGCAATCTCCAAGTTTACGAACTGTGTAAAGGGTAAGAAAGGACGAGGGATAAAGCCCAGAGCCCAGGTAAAGATCCGCTGCTTATGTCACGTGCTCTGGCTGATCCACGCGCAATCACGCGACGAAATGGGGTGGGATTTGGAAGGGCATGTCTCGCAACAAGAAGCAATTGATATATTATCGTTATTCGTTACAAGGACAGGGAAGTTCGATGGAATTTGGATAGACTTTGATAGAAAAAAGGGAAAGAAAGAAGGAAGACGAAATTCAAGGGAAATAATATGATAGTGGTCAAAATTAACAAAACTTTTCTTAACGCGAGATAGTTTTGTCACGAAAGTTTCAATTGTATAGTATATTATATTAAAGGATCATAATAAAATTATTTTTTGAAAAATCGAAAATCGCATTTCTTAATTTCTTAATAATAATAATTAATAAAGTTACTATAGCCAAAATTAGGTTGCTTAGCAGGAAAAGGCACGGGAAAAGCGGACGGTTCGATAGTCGTCTATGTCACAAAAGGGCAGCGAGCAGTCCGACTATTACAACACCAAGAAGCCAAAACCAGAGAACTCCGGGAATTCACCTCGCCATTGCAAACTATAGCTCACGCGCACCAAAACATGCTAATGGACAAGATGGAGGTCATTAAGCTATATGTAATAGCTCCATGGGAGGAACGACCCCCGCCAGAATTGACTTCAGAATAGAGGTGGCCGTACACATTGCCAATATCACCCGTGGCCTACGGATTGTAAGAAGCTCTTCCGCGAGGAAAGGATAGCAGGAACAGGAGGAGACATCCACTACACTCTCGGCATTTACATTGCAGGGTAGCACCTTTCTGGAGCGCACACCAATCCTCAGGCCTCGCTCAAGTGGAGGTCTCCCAAGGCTAACCATCGCATAGCTCACTATGCGAAAGTATAAGAGTTTTCCCCGCCATCTCTCAAAACCTCCCCAGCTTACGGTCGTTGGCGCAACTTTTGGCGAGAACTCCTGCGGGGCTTGAAGGTTCCGTACATTCCGGTGCGGAATTTTTTGGTCCTTCGGCAATTTTGGTGCCGGAACTTCCGAAGACCCCATGTCCATCAGCGTCTGCCACCCGAAACCTATGTTTCTTATTGATATTACGCATCATGGAAAATACCTTAATTTGACCAAAGGTAAATTAAAGCATTAATGCAGAACGTAGAGCATTCTAAACCCTTTGAGAGTCCTATGCCGCACACGATACGGCGGAAGTGTATAGCACCATTTATGATATTCTTTCTCCATTTCATTTTTACCAAGAACGAGATTCAGACAATATCTCAACTTTCATTTTTCAACCATGCAGAATATTCTGATCACAGCATCCAGCGGTAATATAGGTGCTCAGTTGATCCGAAAGCTTCTCGCCACGAACGCCGTGCATCTGGTACTCGTAACCAGTAGTACTGAGAAATTAAGTTCCTTCGCGAACTCCAATGCCGTAACGATTGTGGAGGGGCCTCTCTCGGATCCACAATGGGTGGAAACACAGCTCAAGGTACACAAGATTGATACAGTCTTTCTCTATCTTTTTGGCATCGAAGAATTATTTACAGTATTCAATTTCTTGAATGCTCTCCAAAGATCGCCGAATGTCAAACATGTTGTGTAAGTACCTGGGAAGCTGCCATTTTATTTCTCGATTGTTTTTGACTCAATATGCAAACCGCCATTTTATATCTGTCAAATCCTGTTGACAGAACTCAACCTGTGCGATCTTCAAATAATTCAGAGTAGTGTTATGGGCCACTCGAATAGTCTCTGTCTTCCCTTCGACTTTCTATGTAACATTTCAAGGCATCTCTTCTTATTTTGCCACGCTGACCGACTCATAGATATCCCTCCGCTTGTGGTGACTTCATTGGCAAACCCGAAAACACGGTCGGTTGGATGTGTGCTCACACAAAAATAAAACCACCCGTCGAGATTGCGTTACGACACATCATGTCATTCACTCATACTGTTATTGGGCCGACATTATTCTTTGAGAACGATAATAAATTCAAAGATGCTATTCTCCAAGGGAGACGGTGGGTCGAGCCTCTCGGCGAGAAAGGAGCTAGCAGAGTCGCCGTCGCTGATGTTGCCGACGCTGTATTTATTGCCCTTCTTGATCAAGGTCGCAAGTGGGATGGAACTAAAATCAATATTGGGACATTAAAACAGTACGCTGTGAGCAAGTATCTGAGTTTAATCTATGGAATGCTGATTGGTCATTTCAGGGCGCAGAAAGCGCAAAGCTTTGGAGTAATGCATTAGATTTCCATATTCAAGCTGTTCCCAGCAACCAAGAAAGCCTAGATATGTTGGAGAAGGAATTTCGAAAGAAACTTGAGCCTGTTTGGGCCAGGGATTTAACTTTGGTAGGAGTTTTCTACGTTTAATCCTTAATATGGCCTTTTGATATGCTCGCTAATATATACCTAGCTATATAAAGGCATTATCTCTACAGGGTTTGGAATATCTGAAGAGGAATATCAATTGCAAGTCAAGCTCTTGGGCCGTAAACCAGCCAAGTACGAAGATTATGTTGTGAAGCTAGTACAAACGGCTGGGTGAAGTCGAAGACCGAACCCATAACCTACTCGAAGTATACCTTCTACCTGAACCGTCTTGGGCGAGATACGGGCTTTGAAGACAAGCTAACGAGCTACTATTTCCGCTATAGCTATACTAATACCATTAATAATATATATCCTATACTATATTATTAACTTCTCGAAGCTAATAGCTATTCTAGATAAGGCCTCAGATACTATATATAATTAAGTTATAAGATATAATACCTTTATAGGAATTTTTAATAAGATATATAATAACTAGTTAGTCAGATTTAATATATAAGATACCTGTTACGCTCTACCGCTTCACTAATAAATTTAGCGTCACGTGATCGCGATGACGCATGCGGCTGGCTAGTATTTAGAACACCAAAGCTCCTGTACTTACGAGCTTCCCTCCTTAGTTTAGAATCCTCGGATTAAGAGCCACTCTACCTGCTTTCCAAGCCCAGAGCCCGGTTTCGTGACAATACCTATCTAGAGAGTAATATTACTAATAATAGGCTAATTCAGGCCTTTACTTATATAAGTATTTAATATAACCCTAGTACTCTAAAAGAAATCTCCCGAAAAGTAATAAAGCGACTTCTTATTATAGATTTAGAGATTGCCGTTCTTAAATAATAATTCAAGAAGTTATATATCCGGATTAAATAGAAGTATAAGTTTATTAATTAAGTACCTAAGAAAATCAGGAAAATATATAAGAAATTCGGCTAGTAGCTTAAGGCTATAATAAAAAGCCTAAAAAATAAACTCGAGGCTAAATATAGAAAGAATTACTTCTTCTATATTAATAATAAGGTAATAAAGAAGTAATTAAATAGGCTACTAAATAAGATAGTAATAGAAGAGGAAGCCGAGCCTATTATTAAATACTAGTTTAAAGAACAAATATAATTATAGCTAGTTCTTTATAATTTCTCTAAAAACCTTAGTTTTTAAGCTATTATTATTTATAAAATCTATACTATTAATCTCTAGATTATACTTACTTTATAAAAAGAGCTTATAACTTACTAGTAATAGTCTACTCTAACCTATAAGAATTCTCTTAAGAAAGAATCTCTCGTTTCTACTTCTGCTCTTACTCCTATTCTTAATTCCTTTCTACTAGCTAGTAAATTCCCTTTTATTATAGAAAAGACCTAGTATATATTTTATATTAATAATAAGGTACTCTTATATAGGTAGTAAATAAATAGATTTAGCCGAGTTTTATATATATAGAACTATATTGAGAATATTTACTTATATAGAATACTAGTAAAGTAGTAAAGTATTTACTATTATCCTATTTATAAGGCTAAAGGATTATTACTTAAAAATAAGATATTAATTTTTTATTTCTATTTTATTTATTAATATTATATATATAAGAGGTATTTTTTAAACTTATATATTATTATAATTAATATTAATAGAATTATACTTATTATTCTAATATATAAATTATTTTTAATTTTTAAAGTTTTTATTTAATTTCTTTAAATATTACTTATAAATAAAACGAGTTAAATTTATTTTAAAATCTTAGATAAATCTCCTAATAATTTTTAGTTCTATTAATATAATTTTAATAAAAAGTTCATTTTTAGAATTCTTATATATAATATATTATATATAGACCTTAGCTTTATTTTATTCTATATTATAATTAAGATTTTATTAAAGAACCTAAGATTTCTTTTAGTTTTATTAGATTAAAATTAATTAAAAAGATATTTCTAATTCGAATTTAATAAAAAGCACATATTTAGAATTCCCGGATATAATATACTTTATATAAGCCTTAGTTTTATAATATTTAATATTATACTTAATATTTTATTAAAATATCTAAGATTTTCTATTATTTTAATTCTTTTAAAATTAATTAAAAAAGAACTAATAGTCTAATTCTTATATAAAGTAGCTCCTTTAATAGCCCTTATTATATAATATATAGAAGTAGTACTTTTATTATAGCTTATTTAAAACTTATAATATATAAATTAAGCTCTTAATCTTAGTTTAAAATATAAGTATTTCTATTTAATTACTTTAATTTATTATTAATAAAATTAGCTAAAAATTTATATATAACTACTTTTATATATAGTAAATCTAAATATAATATAAAAGTTACTTGAAAAGGTTCTAGTTACTAAGCTATTAGGTTTAAGCTTAAAAACTTTAGAAAAATTAAACTAAAATTTCTTTTATTATATTATAAATATATTTTTAGATCTTTTAATTACTAGTTTAACTTAATATTCTTATAAGAGCATATATTTAAATTTTGGGCCTTTTATATAAGAAATAGCCTAAATTAAAAGTTATTTATATTTTTAGCTATTTTCTAGCTTTATTTATTAATAATCTAGCGTCTATAAGGCAGATTTTTATATAAAATAGTTCTAAAAATCGGCCTAAATTAGAAGATTCAATATATAAATATTTTTATTAAGTTTATTAATACTTTTAGAAAATACTATATAATTTTTAAATTCTTTAATATTTTTCTAATAAAAAGTTATAATATTTTTAAAGAATATTATAATAGAATACTATAAACTATTATATATTTTATAATATAATTATATTATTAAACTATTTTCTTTAAAAATAAAGAAATTAATTTATAAAATAATTAATAATAAATAATAATAAAATGTTTTGAATTAAAATATAAATATAAAAAGTACTAGTATTAAATTTAATATAAAACTCAATTTTTTTTCTTTTAAAGTTTAAAAAAAGCTTTTATAAATTAGAATAATTAATAATATATATATAATCTAATAATTAATTAATATATAACTAATTTATTAATTAGTAGTATTTTTATAATATAATAAAATTATTAGTTCTTTTAATTATTAATTATATTATTCTTAAACTAAAATATATTATATTAGCTAAGCTTAGTTAGAATATAGCTTCTTTAGATAAGAATAGAATTCTGAGAGCTAATAATACTAATTTGGATTATTTTTATTTATATAAAAGTTAGTTAGAATAAGAGTATTACTAGTAAGTTTACTAGAAATATAAATAATCTTAAAATTCTCTAAAGAACATAAATTAGTATTTCCTTATAGCTTATTCTTAATTTAAAATAGCTAGTTATTAAAGATAGTATAATCTCTAGTAAAGAGAATTAGATCTGAGAATTTAGTAATTCTAGTATTTCTAAAGAAAATATAAGATATAAGGAATTCTAGACGGGAAGAAATAAAAGATAATTCGGAATTCTTTTAAGAGAGGTTTAGAATAGCCAGAATAAATAAAGCAGAAATAGCTAGAGCTATTATAAGCTAATCTATTATAGCTATATAGTATTTAATATTATTCTCGAGTTTAGTATTATAGAGCTTAGTATTCTCGAGAATAGCTTTCTTATAACTATAGGTATTCTTATATAAAATAGCCTTTTAGATATTCTCCTAGTAGTTCTTTATAATAATATTAATATCTAAAAGTAAAGTATTAGGTTTTTTAGCCTATTTATATAACTCTCTAGTAGTAATATAGTTATTAGTTTCTAGAAGCTTTATAATAAAAGTAGAAAGTTCTATTTCTATAGATTTATTTATAAATTTTTCAGAAATACTAATAAGATATTTGGTTCGGGAAAGGCTATTAATAGAATAACCTGAACTAGTAAGAGCTTTACTAGAAGCCTTAGTAGAAATTAATATAATTCCTAGTTATATTATATTCTGGAAAATTGACTTATTATACTTTTTCTTTATTATATTCTCTCTAATAGTCTTATTATTAGTATATATATAGGGCCTATAAGGTTATAGGGTAAGGCTTGAGAATAATAGTTAGGTTACTAGCCTATAGGTATCTATTATTCTAAGACTTAATTAAAGAGTAGCCTTTATTCGAGGTTTTTCGATTTTCGGGTTTTTAGAAGAATTTCTAATATATTACTAGTATATATTAGTAAAAATATAAATACCTGATTTCTTTAAGGATTCTAAAGCTTTTTACTTTTATTATTCTGGAATTTATTACTTGTATTTTTGAGGTTCTATTATCTTAATAGTACTTATATTTCTAATAGTTCTGAATTAGTTTATTTGAAATTCTTTATAGAATTAAAAAAATAAGCTTTAAATATTATTATAAATATAGTATTTAGAGTTTAGAAAGCAAAGTAAAAGGTTTCTTATAAAGATAATTTAAAGCTAAGGAAGGGAAAACTAGAATATAGGAGGCTATAAAAAGGTATATATACCCTATAATATACTAGTCTTAAAGGGGCTTAGCTTTCTAAATATCTCTAGTATATTTCAAGTATACTTTTCTAGTAAAGCAGCCGTATTATATATATCTAGAAAGTATTTAGTATCTAGTAAAGTATTTTAGATACCGGGTATCTAGGAATTATAATAAATAAGACTTTTTTTCTAGATTAGTATTTCTTTTTTTCTTATAAAAATATATAACTATTTAAAGACTTATAAGAATAGAGTTATATTTCGAAACTAAGAATTTATAAAATAGTTTCTTAATTCTATATTTATTTTAGATTATAATAGTTTATTCTTTCTAATTCCTAAAACTCTAGAAATAAAAGCTTCTAAAAAAGAAAAAGAAATTATATAAATAAAAATAATATCTAATATATTAGATATATTTCGAAACTCATATAATTAAAAGATATATCTAATATATTAGGCTATAAATATATTTGTAATAATTTTTTTAGAACGAGATTTTCTCTAAAGCTTTAAAATACAAGAATAATTCTCTTATATAACTTATAACCCGAAAATTTAGTAAAAAATAAAAATAATATCCAGAAATAATTAAAGAAGAATTCTTATACTTTTTAATAAATTAAGAAATAAATCCAGGAAATAAAAGTATCTAATATCATTTCCCTAAATATATATAATACTAGCTTTAATTCTCTTTTTCTTTTTATAGTTTTATTTTATAATAAAAATTTTTTTTTTTTATAGTTCTATTTTATAATAAAAATCTCACTCTCTTTTTTATACTTTCTTACTAAGTATAATAAGCTTTATTTAGCTAAGGCACTCTTTAATACCTTAATTCTTTAATAAATAATCTAAGGATTTTTACTCGAGTAACTAGAATTCTATTAGTTATAAGAATATATTTATTAGCTATTATCTCAAATTATAAACTAATTCGAGAAATCGTAAAACTCGGCTCTTATAACCCGGGAAGTTATTAAACTCGGGAATTAGAACGTGGAATATATTATTAAAGGGCCTTATAAATAGTAGTAAATAGACCTGAGAAGTTATTAAAAGTATTAAATAATTAGTAAAGAATAATAAAAGAAATAAGAACTATTTTAGGGCAGGAAATAGTTTCCGGATTCTTTATTCTATTATTATAGTTATAATAAGTAAAATAACCCGGATTAAAAACTAATAGTTATAGATCTTAATATAATAATAAATAATATTTATTAAAAGAAGTAAATATTTCTAAATTAATAGTTATATGAAATAAGAGTAGCTATAGCTTTATAGCAAGAATTCCTGGCTAAGAAATAAAATATAAAAGGCTTATAAAAGAAATAAGAAAGTTTCCCTAAAAAAGCAAATAGCTATAAAAGAAAAGAAAACCTAAATAAAAACAAATAAACTTTGGTTTACTAGAGAGATAATTATTTTAATAAGCTTATAGAAGACATATTATTATAGAAAAGGCAAAACTCCTATAATATAAGATTTCGGATAAGTATACTAAAGTGTCTGGGTAATAAATTCTAGTTAATTCTAATATATATAACTTTATATTTAAAAGAAATAAATTAATAAGCGAGATATTAGATATAATAATAGTAAATACGAGTATTAGATAATTAATACTTCTTTTTTTATTAGCTAATTAGAAGTATTATTTCTTTTAATTAATTCTCGAATATAATTATAGACAGATTTATAAATAATACTAGATAGTACTCTTATAGATATAGGCTATATATTAAGAAATAGTAGTTATTATTACTAGAATATAAACTTAGATAACTATAAGCTAGTAATAATACACTTATATTAAATAATAGCAGGTTATAAATAAATTCTAGAAAGTATTAATAGAAGTAATAAGTTTATATAAGGAATTTTTTATTACTTAAAAAGAAAAATAAAGTTCTATTAGTAATATAAATAGTAAAATCGAATTCCTTATTCTAATTCTATAATATTTAAAAATTAAAATAAGTAAATAATAATTTAGGCTAGGCTTATTATTAAAAGAAAATTTAATATATATTTGAATTCTATTTTATTTATTTAGAATCTTAATTATAATTAATTAAAGAAATAATAAAAATAGAAAAAAAACATAAGAGGCAAGGAATTTTAATAAAATAAACTCACTTAAATTATAATAATTATCTCTAAACTTATTAGCCAAAATTCTTTATATAAGCCTTTTTTATTAAAAACTTATTAAAATCCTAACTCTAATATAATATTTATTCTTCTATTATATAAAACTAATTCTTATAAAAAGTGAATTTAAAAATCGGCTTAAATTAAAAGATTTAATATATAAAATTTTCTATTAATTTTATTAATACTATTGGAAAATACTATATAATTTTTAAATTCCTTAATACTTTTTTAATAAAAAATAATAATATTTTCAAAAATATTATAATAAAATAATATAGAACTAATATTAAAAATTAAATTTATATATTATTCGAGTATTTAAATTATATTAATAGTTATTTTTATAGCCTATATATAAATTAATATATAAATTATATAATAATTAAAACTTATTTGAAATATTTATTAAAATTTAGTCTAAATTATAAAATTATATTTTTATTTAAAAGCTTATTAATTATTTATTATTTTTTTGTTTTAAGCTAAATTCCTTTATTAATATAAACTATATTTTATTAAAGAACTAGCTTTAAAAGCCTTTTTATTTTTTTATTAATATATTTAATTAAGTATTTTCTAAAGAAATAATATTATTTATTATAAAAATAAAAATAAAATAGAAGAAATTAGTTATTATTTTATTATTAGTTAGCCCGAACTCGATTTTCTTATTTATATAACTAGATTTTATAAATATTTTATTAAAATATATAATATAATTAATAGTATTTTCTATTAGTTAAATATTATATATTTACTATTCTTTCTATAATACTTTATATTATTTTATTATTATTAGATTATTATATTCGAATTATTTATATATTAAATTATATTTCTTATTTAGCTAGTTAATATATTTTAATATATAAGAGTTTATTTCCTTAACCTACTCTTTAATTCATTCTTAATAAGTATCTCTTTATTTGCCTTCTTTGCCATTCTTCTTTGCTCGCCTCCTCTGCCGTTCCTCTTTATCTATATCGAATTTTTCCTCTAAGTCCTTCTCACTTTTTCTTCTCATCTCCTGGGTAATGTAACCCAAATCGACAAGTCCATCAATATTACGTCTCTCGGTATGCCTGATTGCCCATTTATAATCTTCCGAAGATAAAATTCTCTTCTTCCAAAGATACTCGATAATAAAGAAATCAGGACGCATATTCTCAGCTCGCGCTCCGTATCTATAATGCTCCACAATGTGCAACATCCGTCGTCTCCAGCTCGCAAGCGGATCATTATGATTTTCAAAAATGCGTTCACAGAATATGCATGTCGCTCTGGGTGGAGGCCCGTATTGTAAAAAGTGAGAGACGCTATGCTTTATATATGGGTGGATTTGCGAGGGATGGAAAGTTAAAGAGCAATCTTCAAGTAGAAACTCGCACACAAGCTCATATCCGTAGTTAACTCTTTCGGATATCAGGGGCTGCGTGATTCGTTTGAATAAAGCAAACTCATCTTCATCAAGCTGTGTTGAGTCGAAAAGATGGTAACGGTATCCGCCCTGGCTGGAAATAGCGTTTATCGGGGTCTGCGACAACCCGCCGGATGGGTCTGTTGCTTCAACGCTTGACCTCATAGTTCCAGTACTATCTGATGACTTTTTGATTTCCTCTTGGTAGAGGACTTCTTTCATGCAAATAGGACTAAGCGGTGTTAGCAGTATGGTGACAACCTTACTTCGCTGAATATTGCGCACCATGTTGACCATCTTGAGGTTGCTGAGCTCTGTAGCTGTCCAGTGCAACCTTCCTGCGGGCACTGAAAAGTTGCACTATCCGAACTACTCTCTGGTAACTTGCGACTAACCACCGACATGGTCACTGTCGACCCACGGCGGAGTAGCGTGTTCGAATTTGCTGTCGTTAAAACGCGCTCCCCAATCGAACTTATCAAAAGATAGTCCCCTCTATGAACCAACGAAGAGCCCGGGAGGAATCGGAATTCGTGTTTAACGAATGCTTGTAGGATCTAATACCCTGCGCATTAGTTTGAGATAGATGTCAAATGTCCAAGAACTCACTTCGAGCGATTGAAAAAATTCATAAGGCAAGATTCGTGGCGATCTTCCGAGAGCATCCAAGAATGAAATGTTATACTTTGCGAGCAGTGTTGGCATCAAGGCTCTAGAAGGTATGACCAGTCGTGACAACGCTAATCTATTATTTTGGTATGTAAGTGGGGGAAAGTCTCCATCTGAGGAATGGAATGACCTACAAGAGATTCTTCAAGAACAGTCCCAGGTATAGGAACACTAGGTAGTATCTCCCTATGTTAGCTGTTGTTGTAAAGAAGAATATGATATCCCTTACATATCTCGGAGACTTTCTTCCCTTTCCTCACCAATATCACCCTGAATGCCACCTCGTTTCGGTTGAAGCTTTCGTGATGAATTACTTCCCGATAGAGCAGAGTTGATTTCCTCTTGAATTTGGGAAGGCTTGCCAATATTCTGCTTGATCCACTGGACATCGGAGGACAGCCCTTCATAGCATTCAAACGTCTTCGCAGCGAGCCTCTCATATTGCATATCGTGTTCATCTTTGACATTCGCGAGTAGCTTCTCATGGAGTGGAAGAAGATTCTCCCGAAGAAGATTCATCAGATCTGGGCGAAGAGCGTCGTCAACTACCGTTCGTAAATCCCGAGGCAGTTGAGTTTGAATGGTTGATACGATGTCCCTTGACTTGCAATCAGCTCTCTTCTCATCGTTAAACAGAAGGAAAACCGCAGGGACTGACAATGTTAATCGTTGCACAAGTGTATCAATGATCCTCATATGCGACTCGACCCTTTTTCTCAGTGCGAGCACTTTCTTAGATACCAGAATATGCCAGTGCAGTTTCTTGAAAACATCGCGATGGTAAGCTGACGATGCATATTGTCTAAGAGAAGGCTCAAACTTCGTCACAGCCTTCAGAAAACTTTCCACGGGCTCTCGGACCTGAGCGACCTGTTCCTCGATGTCCTTGGCGTAGGAAGGATAAGCACGCCACGCAGCAAAACTCTGTAATGGATCTAGAGTGCGGTTTAAGTCTCGAAGAAAGCCTACAGCCTCGCGGTAATCGCTCGCCGCACCGTCGCAGCTGTTGAGAGCCTGGATTAGGCTGTATATCAGCTTGACGGCTGTCGCAATGCCACCGGCCGACCATCCGAACGACATCTGTGATATTTTGTAAGTTAGCAACACCTCAAACTGGTGGGAATGTTGGTGTGGCGAAAATTTGAGGTTGAGATGACGGGGCTGAATTGGATGTCTGCATAATGCCGGCGGCCCCTCATTGGGCTCTGCCCCTACGCGTGTTCAAGATTGATAGAGACACAGGGGTTAGAGCATATCTCGACCCTTGGTCGGAAGCCTGGAACGGAAGGCTTAGATTCGAGACTCAGTATAAGGTTACCACTGGCCATTAATTGGGGGATCCAAACTGTAACATTAGTGCAACTTTATTGAGAATGCTATGATGAAATAACAATATTGATATCATTCCCGACTATTTTACCAGTCATCTACTCCGACTCCTCATCGAAAGCTTTTTCGTATTACTCCGTGTATCAAGTGATTGTTGAACTTTATGTTGCGCTTCGTTTCTTCCCCTCAAATGTTGGGATATAAAGTCTTCTTTATCGGGATAAATTTCTTGCAAAATGTCAGAAGCTCTCTTTCCAGTCAGTGTTCTTTTCAGATCAGATGATCAATTGATATGATATATTGAGAGCCTGCAGGCTTTAGCGAGGCAGACCGACGGGCAGACTTGTGGCTGTCTTCACTGCATACCACAAGTTGGACTGACGAGGTTGAAGGACGGGCTGAAATAGATTCGGGGAACGAGTCGAACGAGGAGCTCGAGGCTGAGTCGCAGGAAGAGTCAGAAAAGAAGTCGCAAGTGGAGTCTGAGGAGGGGTCTAAGCTCGGGACGGAACTTCAGGAGTCTGAGCAGAAGGCAAGAGAGGATCCAGAAGTGAGCGAAGAGAATCACGACGGGTACGCTGGGCACCAGGTCTCGGATGGACATGTTGGAATGAACAATGAGAACAATGGTTCGAACGATTATGAACCTCATCTGATCGATGGTCATCGCAACATTATTGACAATCAGGCGGGCATCACCAGCCGAGGAGAGCACATCTGGTTGTCTTCAACTGGCCGGAAGAAATCTGTTGATTCAACTCCACGCGCGACTCATCGAGGCCGGGATCAAGCAGTTGGTTACGCTGGCGAGGGATTCATTGTCAATATCCTGAAAACAAAGATTGAGGACACTGGACGAGCAAACTCCGTCGGCATGCAAATGTTTATCCCTATAGCGAGGCGGAAATCACCGATTTAGAATATCAGGACAGAACGGGGTGTTTTTAGCAGGCTTCTAAGAACTTGGACAGATGGTAAGGTCCCGAACTGGCTCGAAGAAGTGTGCGTATCTGGATCTAGAACCCGGCCAAAGTATTGGCTGGAAGTGAAAACAATACCTGGAAGCTGCGAGACGGTCTTTTTTGTCAGTACGCATCAGTATGAGTTGGTAAGCTTCCGAACGCTTTCTTCGACATTCATCTGCTTCTGCAAGGCCCTCTGCCTCAACTATTACTAACATGATGCAGATGCAAGAGATGGCTATTATCGATGGCGATATGCCTATCAATGTCTATGTGCTACAGGGACACATCTCTCTCCGTAATATCTTCAACATCATCTAATGCGCCCCGATTGCCAAGCTCTATGGCATATTCTTTGATAGTCTTTATATGCTTCCGAAGAACATCACTTGAAAACCCTTCCTAAATCAGTTCTCTCCGGAAGTCTTTCCATATTGCCTTATCGTCTTCGGCATAAGACGTTAGGATCGATCCCTCTCCAGCCTTTGGTGCCTTTGCCTGCATCATCACCGTGATATAATTCAAGGCCCGTCGTATTTCTCTAACCTCTTCCCCCTGCGATTCCATGAAAGATTCTACTTTCCCTTGCGAGCCCATCGAAAGCAGGTTGATATGCAAAGTTAATAAAGACGTGTAAGTGCAGATCTTGAGTCTGATATCCGCCAAATCCAGCATCTCTCCGTTACCGAACTTGACTTTCTTTCAGAGCTTTGTAACGCTTCTCCTCTTGTCCGATAACGTATTGTACTTGTCCAAGATCTTGGACAGCGTCCTTAAACCCGATGGCAGTCCCCCAAAAGTTGCGCCAATTGCCCCCTTCGATCGGCCCCCTCATCGCTTTGGCTGAGGATCGAGTCGGACTTCGAAACTTCGACCTCCAGTCGCCGGAGTATGCGGTGTAAGCTCGTGGCTGAGTAGGTCAGCTCCTCGTGAGCGCCGCATGCTTTTCGCGAGTTCTGTACAACTTGCCAGGCCAGCTGGGTAAGGAGCACAAAGTCGCCGATTCCGTAGCCGAACGACATTGCGGTGCGGAGGTTACAGCGAGGCTGGTGAGGCTGTGGCTGTGCGAGAGACATAAAGAAGGAAGAGAGAAAGGGGGTAGGAAGAGGGCACTACGGTGTGTTTTAATCTCGGTAGTCGGCAGCGCGGCTCCCCGAGCCTCTAAGGACGCCTGCCCTAATGTAGGCTAGACCGACCCAGTTATAGGGCACTGGCGGTGGCAGTGGCACGGGCTCGTAGGACCAGCAGCCCCGGCGGGGCAGTATGTCAAATGATTAGGTTTGATTTGATTAGAACCCCCTACTAAAATCAAATCAAGTCAAAATCAAGCTAATCAAATTATACTTAATTATAATCAAAGATAATCAAAGATAATTAATTAGATTTATCACGTGGCTATGTACATGACTCTGGAGCTTTGGAAGCCGAGATAAGGCTAAAATAAGGTCTGGGCTAGCCGTATTCGGTATTACTAAAGGCGCTCTTTACTAAACCAGCCCTAGTACTAATTAGTAAGCAAAGCTAAAGGCACTAGAACCTCCTTAATTTCTAGTAATTTCCTGTTACTAATAAAAGAGCTATAAATAAACCTTTATAGTAATTAAGGAAAAAGAAATAAGAAAATAAGAAAATAAGAAAATAAGAAAATAAGAAGGAAAAAGAGAAAGAGATTTCTAAAGAAGAAAACTATTAAGATAAGGTAATATTATAATAGTAGTAAAGAGCTTGAATTAAGCTTAAGGCTATCTGCCAGGCTAAGGAAGTACTAGCCATATACTAAGTCACGTGCAATGGCATTATATAACTAGTAGCAGGTAATAAAAACTAGTTTATTATTTTGGATTTAGACTAATTTTATATTCTTATATATGCTTTATAGATTTTATTTATATTCTATTAATATAGCTATTAATTATTTAATAATTTTTGAAAATACCTAAGAAAGTATACTTTTATATTATTATATAATAATTATAATTAATTATAATAAAAATCAAGCTAATTAAATTATATTTAATTATAATTAATTATAATTAATTCTAATTAATTAGCCTTAATTATTTTTTAATATACTAGGCAGGGGAAATATAATTAAGTTATAAGAAAGAAATATCTAATATCCTATAGAATTTAGAGAATTGAGTTATTTACTTTAAAATAATATTAAAGTTAAAAGAAAACTAATTCTTTATTAAAATAATTCCTTATTAGTATAACGGCAGGAATAAAGTAATAGAATGAGGCTTAAAGATTAATAATTTCCTATATCTTGAGAATTTAAAGTTAAAGAGAGAAGAAGTGAGGTATAGTAGTAGATAAGTAGGTATAGCTAAGACTACTAAAATACCGAGCTTTAGAAGCAAGCTTGGTTTAAACTATAGCTTGGAACCTTAGCTAAAACCAATTCCTTTAGCTAAAACCATATTTATATTAACTATATAATACTAGCTATTATAATTAGAATATACTTTAGTTAATAGTATATATATTAATTATAGTCTTATATTTTTAGTTTCTTATTAAAAAACCGCTCTTATATAATAAATAAACTTAGTAAATATATATTATTATATTAATAACATAATATAAGTCTAATTCGGACCCGGGTTTTAAACTTTAAAATTTCTCGGGATCTTTATATTAAGTTAAGAAAGAATATTAAAACTATATATCTTTTGACTTTATTTAATAAATTATAACTAAAGCCCTAATATAGTAGCCAAATTTCATAGTATAAATAAGATACTAGCCTTTTTCCTATTATACTACTATTATTAACTTCTTAATAAGCCATATATAAATCTTATAAATTAATAATTCAAAGCCTTATATTATTACAAATATTAAACTATTTCTATTTATAGTCTTTTTCTTAAGATTAGCTAATAAATATATCTCTTTTACTTTTCTATTAAATAGCTCTTCTTTACTATATATATATCCTAAACCTATTACTATATATATTAGAAAATATTAAGTTACCGGAATAAGAAGCTTATAATAATTAGCCTAAGGAACTACCCTAGTTATATTTTTAGTAACTTTATTTATTATTACTATATTTCCTATAATTTGGATTTAAGAATCCTGTATTTTATAAGCGGGTTTTCTAATAGAAAAGAAAAGATTTACTTATATTTATAGGTTCTTTAATTCTTAATAAGATAGCTAACTTTGGCTCTTTAAAATAAGGACTTTTATATACTTTCTAACTACTTGAATTCCTATTAATACTACCTATAAGTTTCCTAGCTAATACTAGTAATCTTGTTTTTATTACTACTATATCCTCGACTATATAGCTCTTAATTATAGTAAAGATTAGTACTATAGCTATATAAATAACTCAGGTATATATTTATAAGTATTATTATAACTATAACTAACTTTCTTAAATTAATATTATATTAAAATAGTACTAAATTAGTAAACCCTGAAATATTTCTTAATATATTATAGCCATAATATATAACTTGTTTTCCGGGGGCTTTATCTTATATAATAAAGAGCCCAAACCTATAAGTATATTAGAGCTCCCTTACTAGAATACTAGGATAAGAATACTATAGGAATATATGTTTTTAATAACGGATTTAGCCTAAATATGGTTTATAAGACTAGATTTAGTAAAGAGCTTAATATAAACGAGTATAAAGTAATAGTATTTAAATACTAACTAATTATTACTAATTAAATAGTTTAAAGTATTATTACTTTTATATAAGTATATCTAGATATCCTTAATACTTAATAATATTTATTAGTTATTTTCCGAGATAAAAGAGTAAGTATTATATTTCCTATAGAATATAATACTAATATATAGGAAAGAAAAATATTACTTTATATATTTGCAAGTATATTATTTGATTTATTAAGAATATAAGTCTTAATTCTCATTTTATAAATTACTATTATCTCTAATTTCGAGTTTATTATAAAGACAAGAGCTTTCTTTTTATAGCTATTATTATTTCAAACCTTAATTTCTTGTTTTTCCCTCAAATACTAATTAGTATAATTTTAAAACTATTTATAAGTCAATTTAATAATTAATCTAATAAAGAGAGAAAAAGAAAAAGAAGAAATACTTATATTTATATTTTAGGTATATAGATAAACCTTTATAATAGGTAAGTATAAAGAGAAATTAATATCTCAGGTTATAGAATTAAGTGAATTCGAATATATAATCTAATTAGTAATAGCCCTAAGGGCATTAATTTCTATAGCTATATTTAGGAATAAACTTATATATAAAAAACAAGAATATAATTCAAAAATTAAAGAAAGGCAAGAAGTAAATTTAATATTCTTAAATTCCTTTATTTTTACTACTATAATATTAGGGCTAAAATATTACTAATATTAGTATACTACTTTCTATAGCTAGCTATTTATTTTCGATAAGTAACTACTTGAATTATATTATAGTTATAGCTATATAAATTAATAAATAGCTTAGTAATAAGTAGTTTTAGAATTACTAAAAATCGAAAATAAGAACTTATTAATCTTTCGATTTTCTATAATACTCTTTTAGTTCTAGTAATAGTAATATTAAGGAGCTTATTATACTTACTAGAGTTAGTAGAAATTTACTTATAATAAAGAAAGCTTTATTTTCTTATTATAAATACTATTTATTAAAGTATATTCAAGATATTTATATATTAATTTTGCTTTCTAGAAATAGTATTAAGGAGCCTTATTATATATTAAAACATATTAGGCTTAAGAAAAGATTTCTTTGCCTAGTTCTAGACTATATTACGATTTTATATATAAGTAAGAAAACTTCTAATTTATAAATCTTTACTTTTAAGCTAACCTGAATTTAGATATAAGACTCTTCTAATAATACTCAAATTATTAGATATAACTATAGCTATCTAAAAAGAATTATCTAAGAATTTTATCTAATCTCTATTATATACTAAAGTATTTATAATTTAAATATATATTTAGTTAATATTTATAGGCAGATATAATATATATTAATTATAAAGATATAATAGAATAATTATAATAGGTTTAAATAATATATTAGATATTTTCTAAAGTATTAGAAGTACTTATCTAGCTTGGGCCATATATAAAACATATAAGACATATATATAAAATTATTAATAACTTTAGAAGAATTCTATAATAGTTTTAACTAGCCTAATTATATTAATTCTAGAAATTATTTAGATCTTAATAATAATATCTGGGAGCTCTATAAGGAATTCTTTTACTTTCTATAATTTATACGGGTCTAGGTATTTTAAGAGGCTATTATTATAAGAAAGCTATATTTTATTTTTAGGAATTAGGTTATTTTATAAAGAAAGATTATACTTATTATTTACTCTATTAGCTTCTTTAGTAATCCGGTTTCTAATAATTTATTAGATATAGCTAGTAGTACTTAACTTATAGATATAAAGAATATAAGACTATTAGATATAAGAATTAAAAATACTAAAAAGTATATTTTTTAAAGTAATAATATTTCTTTTATCTATATTCTTAATTATTCTTATTACCTTAAAGTAATAAATCCGCAAAACCGCATTTTCGCGTTTTAAGATCTAGTAAAAGAAATATATAATCCAGAGTTCCAAAGTCTTATAAACTACTTTTTTAGTATAAAATAAGTCTATATTATTTTTATAAAATATAAGCTACTTTATTAAAAGAACTTATAAATACTATTATTAGTTATAGTTATCTCTAATCTTTTACTTCTATTATAGGTACCTAACTAGATATATACTTCTTTAGAAAATTAACTAATTACTTTAAAATTAAAAATAAATTAGGGTTTAGTATATATAGGAAACTTGGACTATAAAGGGCTAGAGATTTGAATTTCTAGTAATAAAAAAATATTATAAGTTTAGGAAATAATTTTTATAAAACTATTATTAATTAGTAAGGTTTATTAAACTTTAAGAAGTAATAATTTTAGAAAGCGGATATATAACTTAAAATTTATATTTATTAAATAAATAAATGAAATATCTTATACTAGACCAGATTTATATTTAAATAGGGAACCTCGAATTAAG